ATCTTAGCTAAAGCTTCTTCCATATTGGCCGAAGCTACATACGGTGGTGGCGATGTAATTGCAGGGCTGCTAGTTACTATTGTAGTCTGTAATTGTGGCATCGGCGACGAAACAAACTGTGGCAGGGACCTTGGTATGCTCGTGTTTGTTGCCGATGTTCCGAAAGGTGGTATGCTCATAATAGGTTCAGGATATGTAGGCACTACCATCAACCCACCTCCAGCTTTAGCTTGTTGCCCAGGAAAGAAATTCATCGGCATGCCAAATTGGGGTTGTTTTGTTGGCGTTTCAGTTGCCGATGAATTAATTGGCGCTGTTGTTTTTGGGTTTTCTACACTAGCAGATGTACCAATATGACCAATAGATGATGTAGGTGTATTATTTTTAGCATTGATGGTCTCTGAAAAGTGTTGGCATGCAAGTTTGTTCCCCTCAGTGATATAATAATTAAGAACAGCTACTTGTTCAGGTGTAAAAGGTTCACTTATAGGGATGTTTACCTTTTCCTTGCTGTGTAGAGGAGGGAACGTGATGTCGCCAACTGCTGTGATGTTGCCTTGACGATCTTTGTTGAAGTTGGCGAGGAACCTATCCATCTCTTCCTCATCACGTTTCTTATTGTATGCCTCATAAGCTTGGCGATGCTCTTCAGACAATTCATCAAAGCTAGGCTTGACGATGTTGTCCTTGCTGATATCACTGGGCTTTGGGATCTCGGTGCCGCCGGACATGATGGACAACGGCAGTGTAGATGTAACTTTATTTTCTTCGATCCCCAGCGAAGTGGCTAAAAAGTGTGTTCGCACACAAACACGTCACGTGTGCCCCCGGTGACGAGCGCGATGTGCAAGACACGTCGCAAGGGGAGTCTCGTCGGGAGCGCGATACGCAAGACACGCCGACAAGAGAGCTCTTGAAACCCGACACATACATGTATATGTGCTTTCCAAAAGCAAGCCGTGCCTTGCATGCATACGTATAATCTCTTTCTATTTGCCACGACATGCATGCTGCACTTGTAAAGTCTCAATAATCAACTTGTTCACGCCTTGGATGGATTGACCTTCCATCTTTATCTCCTTTTAGTAATCATCACGCCATGCTTGCTGAGTCCGAACCAAAACCTGCTGCATGCATATGCACCTGCATTAATCTTCCAAATTCGTCTCCTGGTCTGGTTACACCTGGATTCGTGTTGACTCCTGCCGACGTCCAAGAAACTCCTGAAGTCATGATGGATGGAACCGCCAGACATATTTATTATCAACAGCGGCACCGTTCGGCTCGCTGAAACTTGGCTGGCTGAATTGTTGTGAGAGAAAAATATTGTTCCGTCTGAAAAAATAAGTTAAATAGTGCCAATTTTGGGTAAGCCGAATGGGGCAGCGGCTTCACGTATCTGCTGAAATAAAATTCTTGACAAAACCGTTAGACCCAAATATGCACATGATGTCAAATTTGACCATCAACAGAAATCAAGAGACCACCGGTATGAGTATGCATGTGAATGGACATGAATAAACACTATGACATCGATCATCAGCTGTTGTTTACCCATTGTTCGGCTGATGGATTCTACAGCTGATAAGCCGGTTGAAACTGATTTCTTGTGGGAAAAAATATTATTTCATGCCTGATAAGCCAGGCTGATAAGTTCAAGCGGCAACGACGGCGAGGACTAGAGAAAGAGGGCATGTCACGACCAACGCCATTGTGTGTGTGTAAGGTGGACGGTGAGTGCAAAAAGGATGATAGAGAAGGTGGTGAGCACCAAGGAAGGAGGGAGTGCTGGGGAGCTATATTTATATTTATAGTGCGAGCGAGGTCCAAGCCTTGTTTAAATCCAGGGCGGAAAGTTTTGGGGTGTCACATCGGGTGTCATATGGAGGTGTCGTATGGGGTGTTCGGATACTAATAAAAAAACAATTTACAGAATCCGTCAGTAATCCGCGAAACAAATTTTTTAAGCTTAATTAATCAGTCATTAGCACATGTGTTACTGTAGCACCACGCTGTCAAATCATAGACTAATTAGGCTTCGTAAATTAGTTGCAATCTGTATAATTAGTTATTTTTCTAGTCTATATTTAACACTCCATACATATATCCAAATATTTAATGGGATATGGAGTAAACTTTTGGAGGAGAAACTAAACGAGGCCTAAGCGTGGTGGGCGAGAGAGATAGTGAGCGCTGACTAGCTGAGCCACTTGTTGGCTTGGGGGATCAGAAAAATATTATAATGCGCCGTGTGAGCGTAGAGGCGGTTAACATATATATCTTAGCGCTAAATACGTACCTGTAATCAAATGAGAGATAGTGGAATTTACCCACACAAGCCTGCCCTGCTCCTCGAGCGGAACCTCCGTCCACGTCGCCCGGAATTCCGGCCTCCGTCGGATCTGCCATTTGATGGATGAGATTTGCTGAATCAGGTTTTACAGGGATCGGCTTCTTCAGCTTTTACTTGCCACCTGCAGCTTTTCAGCTACTTCTATTTATCTTGCTGGCCTCCTAATGAGAATCCAGGAAAACAGAATAAATACCCAGCTCCTGATTCTCCTTCCCGACCCTTCTCAACTAAATCTCGACTACTCCCGTACAGGCTGCCTCATCGCTTCCTCTCTCTCGCTCCCGTCTCTCTCCTACCCCGACGCGGGCGGAGCGCCGGCGCTCGCGGCACGCGGTGCAGCGGCCAGCCCCGTCAGGCCCGCTGGTGGCCGTCCCGGTCACGGAGCGGCGCGGGTCGGCCTCGCCGGTGGCCGCGGCGGCGGATCCCCGTGCGCTGCCTCCTCCTGGCGGTTTGTAGCCAATCCACGAAACCCTAGGTGCCTCCTCCGGCGGTTGTGGCGAGGCTCACGGCTGTATCTCACCGAGGCCGTGCTCGTCGGCTTCCCCAGTGCTGCCTCCTCCCACTGGTAAGAAACCTAATGCGGGTTGTTTATATCTGTTCTGCTATGTTTACTTATAGATAGATCTGTTGCTTTCCTTGGTTCTGATGGCTTGGTCTCAAAACTGTTTGACGCAGGTTCGCATCGTTGTTGTTCAAAGGTGTCGTTGGCCGAACATTGCTGCGATTGTTGCTCCTGGTGCTCAATTGGATATCTTCATAACTGAGATACACTCTTATTGGACTATCTTCGCTTCCAGGTACTAGATGCTTTGTTTAGTATATATGTTGCTTTGTTTTCTCATTGTTTGTGCTATGTTATGAAACTGATATTCCTTTGCTCTTCTTTGCCGTTTGCAAAATCATTCAAAGGACGCGTACGGTTCTGGGAACTGGTCCAAGATCGGCGGTTGTCTTTTATTTGCAAAAAAAGGGTCTTGCAAACTGATTTTAAAATTAACCTCTGGTTTTAAACGGCCCTATATATTTGTGCCTTCCATACAGAGGCGGCAACACAAAAAAATTGCCCACATTTGGACTGCTACTTTCGCTCGGTGTGGTAGATATGTTTTTGATCAATTTGTCCTACGTAGCTATGTTGCAAGAGGTTGCTCACCGGTGCTGCCTACCTTATGTATCCTATATACATGAGGTGGTACAGGATGGGAAAGATATATATGGTATAGAGGTTGAATTGACCCCCGGTATGGTCTAGGGAGCCTCAACAGCACTCTTTTTCTGGGCTGAGCCTGCTGTGGATCCTGCCGTGGCCTACGAAGTAGCAGCATTGTAGGCTCTTGTAGTTCTACAGGGGATATATGGATTTGTTCTTATTGATTATAGTGTCCATGGGCTTCAATTATATAGGGATCTAGCTCGCCATCTATTCTGCGTTGCAAATAGAGGAGCTCAGCTTGCTAGGTTGGTCGTTGCAGCGACCAGCAACGATATTAGATCGTTGTCGGCTGTTACAGCGTTCGCGCAACAGGTGTTAGATGAACTCATCGTGCTGTCGCGCGATTGAGTGTCAGCATGTTTGTAGGTTTACAATTTCTTTTCGGCTTTATGTATTTTTCCTCCTTCCATTGTACGCATCGCACAATTAATTATGAAAATGGTACATGAGGTGACTTCAGTTACGCCTAAATCAGCATCGGTCTGTTTATACACCCGTATTTTACTTCTCATCTTTATGTAATTGTTTTTTGTTATTTCTGCACTATACACTCCGATTTCAGTTTTCGTCTTCATATAGTCGTTTTTGCTCTTATCGTGCTTCTACCACTCTTACTGCATGAATCCACCCTGCCTATACATCTAGATTTGTGCATGTGCCTGCACTTGCCTTTTCATATATTGATGTTTTGCGTTCTCCATTACTCATGCCTGTCGTATTCCCTACATTACGCTCTTATACAACCAACTAGAATAGAGCCAAAATGCACGTCACGTAATCCATTACGCCAGCTCTCTGGTACTAGCGGCTTCTCTGTGTGCTGTTTTTTCTGGATTATCCAGTGCATGTTAACAGACTCATGTGTATCGTACTCGGTACATTATACTGTTATAGAATCAGGTACAGCACAAACAAAAGGTGCATCAAAGAATGCGTTATAGCAGCTCTCTGTTACTATCAGATTGTTTGTGCGCTGTTATTCTGGGTTATCCAGTGTATGTTAACGGTCCATAAACACCACGTGCTATTTTTTCCAAGTGTTTTTTTCCCCAAAAAAATGGTTTCATTGTTTTATGTCCATGGTAAGATGCATGACCTTCGTCGTGTATGGAATACCTAAACCGGTATGGTGCTTCAAAGCAACCACGTATGTAAAGCGTGTGCTCTATTTTGCTTACATATTTAGGTTTTCAGTGACAGTTGCTATATTCAGTGGCCTCACTATTTTGCTGTATTACGATATCTAACAGTGCCTACCTATATTACTCAGTGGATGCTTCGGTGGATATAGGCACTCTCTTCGCCGCCACACAGCCGAGGTCCCGCCGTGCAAGACCACGTATGTAGCCTCTTGTGTATACTCCCATATGAGGCAAGAATATTGCATGAATCTTCTTCTTATCTATTACGTCGCCGACCAGGAAATAACTCCTCATGTCGCATTACGAGTCCCGATCCAACAAGAATGTAGGCGAGAGGAGAAAGCTCCTAAACCAGCATCGTCGTGTTTGGAGAGGTACTTCAGCAGATTGTATAGCAAATGATGTCTTCATGCCTTTGGCCTACAATATGGTTCAGTCCTATACCACCGTATACAGTGCGACTTCAAATGATGTAGTGCTAACTTAGAGTGTGCTCAGTTCGATGATGATTTCGTAGAAGCCCTTAAAGGTAAAGCCTGTACCTTCGTATGCTGCATCTATCTTTTCCATCATCAACAGACCTACCTCCGGGTATCTACCTCATCCATGTTTAACTCTCTCTTAAATGTGCATAAACCAGTTTCTTATCCTGGGAGATCATACCATGGACCACCTGCACAGCAGTGTTCTAACTGCCACGCCATTTTCTGGAATGCTGAAAGTGTTGGCAAAGAAGCACGCACCTCTTCTGGATCACTTATTTACAACAAGTGCTGTAAAGGAGGCAGAGTTGTTATTCCTCCCTTCCTACCTAGGCCTGAACCCTTAGCGTCTTTGGCAAGATTTGATGGAGAATCGGTCTCTACCAAGTTTATGAAGAATATAAGACGCTACAATTGTCTTCTTGCATTCACCTCTATGGGAGCCAATATAGATCGAACCATGAATGATGCGAGGGGTCCTCCGGTTTTTAAAATTTGTGGACTGATTCATCACCGCATCGGCTCTTTGATACCTCCACATGGTCGCCCTCCAAAATTTATTCAGCTCTATGTGTATGATACATCAGCCAAGGTTGAGAACAGAATTGCCTCATTAGACCATGAAGACACAACAGCATCAGATCTAGATCCTACTCTTGTACAGTCTTTAGTTAGTATGTTGGATAAACATAATTTGTTTGCAAAGCAGTTTAGAATGGCCAGGGATAGATTGGCAGACAATGAGGCTGAAGATTTTGTCATTCGCATTGTTGGTCCAAAAGACGGAGATCCGCCTCGAAGATAGCTTTACCAACTCTGAGATCAATTGGCCATGCTTGTAGTTGGTGATTTTAATGTGAAGAATTTGAGCGGGACATTATTGTGCGACTTGATGGGAGATCTAGCTCAAATCTACGCTTTGCATCCCGCTTTCATGGCGCTTCAAAGTATCTTCTGTTGTTTCCATATTTGAACGTGGTTTGAGACCGGTATTTTATATACTTGGTGTCACTCGATCAAAGACAGAATGCTCATGTAAAGCTAACCATGCAAGATTACTACTGCTACATGTTCCACTATAGAAAAAATGAGCCCAATCCTTATTTATGTTATGGGCCATTGTCATGTCAGGCCAAGGTTGATGCCCGGGCCTGCGTCGATGAAAATAGACTGAAATATATAGTGGATCATCAGGTTGATATCAGGATGGAAAGTATTCAAGGAATCTATGATGCTATTAGCAGAGGTTCCCAAGAAGGAAGTGAGGTTGGGAAAATGACCGTGTTACCGACATCATATACAGGCGGTAGACGTTATATGATACAAAATAGGCGGTAGACGTTATATGATACAAAATTATCATGATGGTATAGCTATCTGCCGAGAATATGGTCCCCCTGATTTCTTCGTTACATTTACATGTAATCCTAAATGGTTAGAGATTTTTGAGGCTATCTTTGAGCCTGGACAGAGGCCAAGTGATAGGAATGATATAGTTGTCAGAGTGTTCAACATCAAGTTAGAAGAACTTCTGCATGATATTAGATGTGGTACACCCTTTGGCCCTTGCAGCGTAGGTATATTCATCTACATACATCAAAACCATCCTTTCTATCTATGTCCATTTGTCTACTATCGCTTCCAGATCCTAAATATTTCCTATTAAAATGCAGTGCTCCACACTGTAGAGTTCTAGAAACGCGGACTTCCACATGCACACATAATCCTTTGGACTTCAAGAGATACATCCGATCCAACTTCACGCAATGATAGACAAATATGTGTCTCGCAGAAGTGCACGATCAAGAAATGATCTGCTAGGCTATGCTCTTGTTGTTGAGAGCACATGATACATGGACCTGCGGTAAAAACAATCCTAGGTGTCCATGCATGAAGAACAATAAGTGTTCCAATCATTTTCCCAAACCATACCCGACTGCAACTACTGATTAGTTCTATTGGCTTTCTTTGTGTATGCAGAGAGACGAGAACAATATCTTTGTTTGCAAAGGAGGCCTCCAAATGGATAATAGATGGGTTGTTCCATATAACATGTTCCTCCTTAAAAAATATCAGGCACACATCAATGTTGAGTGGTGCAATAAAACTACATTCATCAAGTACCTCTTCAAGTATGTAACCAAAGGAGCAGATTGTAGCAAGGCTTATCTACAGAGAGTCAAGAGAGGCCAGCAAGCGCCGTATGATGATGGAACAAAGACTATAAATGAGGTAAAAGAATATATTGATTGTAGATATATCTATGAGCAAGATGCATGTTGGAGAATGTTTGGATATGATATTCATAGACACTATCCAGCAGTAGAAAGAATGCATGTCCATCTTCCAAACGAGAATTTCATAACTTTTAGTGCTAGAGCAAAGATGGATAGGTTAGTATCTTCCGAGTTTTTGAAAAGAACGATGTTAACTTAGTGGTTTGTGTGCAACGAGCTTTTTCCTGAAGCTAGAGCATTGACCTATCCTGAGTTTCCTTCGAAATGGATATGGGATCAAAGAGATAGGTAAGATAGGCCGTCTTCACTATGTACACCCATCAGCTGGGGATCGGTACTACCTTCGCATGTTGCTGCTAACAGTTAAGGGTGCAACAAGCTATGAACATCTAAAATTCCACAACCGAACATATCATCGTACATTCAAAGAGGCGTGCAAGTCCATGCAGCCTTCTTGGTGATGATCGAGTGGTATAACGCTTTTGATGAGGCGTGACTTGGGCTACTTCACATAACCGTAGCTTATTTGTAACAATGATACTGTTCTGCGAAGTTGGTGATGAAAACACTTTCTTTGAGAAAATTTGGCGCCATCTAGCCGACAATATCATCTACCAGTACAGAGATATGATTGGTGATCCTAATTATGTGTTGCCTGATTCAGTAGCTAGGGATTACCTTCTAGATGAACTTTCCACTCTTTTTTCTCAGAGTGGTAGGAACATAGCTGATTTCAGCTTACCTCCAAAGACACATCTTTGAATATCATGTTCAACACAATCGGCTTGTCGAAGAAGAGCTATCATATCCTGTTGATCCATTGATTGACATGAACAATCCAACTGCTTTCCTTAATGAAGATCAGAGAAACGCCTTCTATAAAATAGTCCACAGAGTGCAACAGAACGAGCCCGGCTTTTTCTTTGTATCGAGGATCTGGGGAACTGGTAAAACATATTTATGGAATCGAATAGTAAGCTATCTCAGAGGACACAAAAAATTGTTCTTCTGTGGCATCTTCCGGGGTAGTGGCGCTTACTCTTACTGGGGGGACGAATTTGCTCATTCAAGATTCAAAATACTTATGAAGTAGAGGATGATATGATCTGTGATGTTAGCAGGGGCACCATGCTTTCAGAGCTTATTGAACTTACAAGCCTTATTATTTGGGACGAAGCCCTTATGGCTAATAGAAAATGTTTTGAAGCATTAGACCGCACATTACGTGACATAGAAAAAGTAAAAAAAACCTGAGGCTGCAGATATTCCATTTGGTGGTAAGGTTGTCGTACTGGGAGGGGACCTCAGGCAGATCTTACCTATGGTTGAAGGAGGTACGAAACAGGATGTCATCAGTGCCGCTATAATCACCTCACGCTTATGGGCTCATGTAGAGGTGCTCAGCTTAAATCAGAACATGCGATTAGTATGTTCGCCAAAACTCCGTAATAGATAAATACATATATACTGCTTACAGAAAGTGTACGTAACCAGTGCACAATTCCAATTTATGTAAGGTCACCAACAAGACGGACAGGTGCTTGCAAGAACCTCTTCGGCCACGCCGATTCGGCCGAAACTACAGAGACAGAAGAAGAACAGCGTGCCAAGGAATCAAAAAAGTATACTTTCAAGAATTTTAGCTTACCATCTTTTTATGTCCAAACATGTTGACATGCAACCTCTAGACATAGAAACCGAGTATAGTGCTGAATGGTTTTTTCCCAGGCAGAAAAAATACACCAGGAAGATGATGCACGTAGCGACTCACAGAGGTGAAGGAGCGTCTCTGGTACACAACAGGTAACATTCTCCAAACACCATCTGACTAATATGTACCAATAAACAACAAAAAAGATAAGGTCTTCCTAGCCAACTCTTATCACATAACTGACTTGGTTCTGAACATAGACATACACAATACATTGTCTCACGCCAGTTAGTTTTAAATACTAAACATTCTTCCTTTATTGTTCCATATAGGTGCTGCCGCACTATTGCCGACATGTAACAAGCTTTTGCGTCCTACGAAGAACTGTCGTTCAAAGAAATAAAACCTATATGTAAATTATCAGAGTACGATGCATCGACTTCTGTGGTACATGCATCAGGCTATGATGCATCAGCTTCTATGTAGTATTAGCTATGGGAACATATTCGATGTCTATAGAACCTAGATACATCCTACTAACGACTTTCCCTGCTGTAGACTCCGCTAAGACTACCACATACTATGGATGTGTCAGTTCGAACTGTTGCTATGAAATCGTATCGTTCCAGTTGTATATGAAACTATATTTGCCTTATGTAAATTCTACATAAATCCTACTAAAGTATCCGGCCCAAAAATAAACCAGTCTGAAGCCACGGGCGCGCGAATGCACGCGCCGCCATACTAGTATAATACAATCCAATCAGGGGCGGATTCACAGGGGCTTTTGACCGAGAGTCGTCTGCCGACCCTGACAAAAAACGCTGCTTTGCATTGCTTAACAATGGCGAAGAACATATATAGGTGATATATACTGAATTGCTGATGACGACCCCCAATACGTATGCTGATTCTGGCTATCTAGATTCATTCGCTGATGATGAATTAATAGAAGTTGGCCATGAATAATTATTGGCCCAAAATAACTACGTGAATATTCTCTACGTCCATGTTTATATGCAAGAGATTTTTTTAATATATAATCACGTATAAAGGTGATGAGGAATAATACGCACTACCATGTCAAGATAGCCAGAGTATATGATTGTCTCTTCAACACGGTACTACCATGTCTCTCTCAGTCTCTCTGAGTGTACGTACATGAGCAGACGTGGAATACCAGGTTGTGGCGGCCGAGTTCTCCCATGCGATCAAGGACAAGATGCTTGATACTTTTGATTATTTGTTCGTCCTCTATATGTCGTTTCAACATCCATCGTGCGTTCCGTGGAAATTTATTAGTAGGAGAGAAACATGGTAGTATCGTGTTGAAGAGACAATCATCGTATACCATTTGTCAAGTCGTTGAACAACCAGTGTTGAAGAAAATAAAAACTCAGCCTGCGGTGGGCATATAGCCCCCGTAGTTTTTTGCACTAGGAGGAAGATTTCTTACGTAGGCTAAGAAAACCCTCGAACCCCATGTCCCGCCCTCACACAGGGGCCTGTAACCCTGTGAGTGGGCCGGAACCACCTTACCTGTGCTTTGGGACGCGGGACAGGCGAGGGTTTTTTTTTTCTACACAAACTGCGTATTACCGCAGCTATGCCTACAGCAGCCGGGAGTCGAACTTCCAACCGGCGCCTTCCCACAACAGGGACGGAACCACTCGAGCTAACACTCGCTCACAACCATGTTGAAGAGACAATCATATACCATTTGTCTAGCCGTTGAAGAGGAGAGAGACATGGTAGTAATTTCTTGAAACGACATACAGAGGACGAACAAACAATCAAAAGTATCAAGCATCTTGTCCTTGATCGCATGGGAGAACTCGGCCACAACCTGGTATTCCACGCCTGCTCATGTACGTACACTTAGCCGTGCATGGTTTGGATCGATCGGCTTTTGCGATAGCTAGCTGCATTTCGATTTTGGATTCCCATCCATTGGCATGCACGCTTTGACAAGGAAATGTAGTCCTGCATCGACTTCCATTGCATGTGCATGGCGTCGACTTCCGATCCAGGGCACAACCATAGCCAAGTCTAATATATACACATCCTTATCGGTACAACTTGGATCAAAGAGGAAAATTCATGGACGGTCTCTCAACTTGGCATGAGATGTCACGTAGATCCCTCTACTGTCAAAATGGTATTTTTGGGTCTATGAACTGGCTTCGGATATCATCTAGGTCCAAACGGGTCATAACCAGCTCTGTACGATGACGTGGCATGTTGAGTGCGCATCTGACATGTGGGACCCACGCGTCAGGGGGAATAACAACACCATTTTCTTCCTCCAGCTCGCGTGCACGGGAAGCGCCAAGCTCGCTGTTAGGCGCGCGCGGGGCCTAGGCCGGCGAGGGCGACGGCGCGGAGGCCACCAGCGGGCGCGGCCCCGGCTGGTGAGGGCTCGGGCGTGACGGAATCCGGTGGGCGTGGCCCCGGCTAGCGAGGGCGAGGGCGCGGCCCCGGCCGGCGCGGAGTCTGCCGGCGAGTGCGGTGGCCGCGCTGGACGACCCGCACGCCAGACCCGCGTCGCTGCTGTCGAGGAGAAGAACCTGGATGGCGGCTCGGTGGCGTAGCTGGCGTGCTCGGCCAGCAGCCGGAACACGGCGCTGCCCTCGTCTTAGTTGCGGCCGAACATAGCGACGACGATGGCCTCCTGCGATAGCTGCTGGTATCACTCCGCCTCCGCGACGTTTACCTCCACCTCGCCCGACAACGACGACGGCAGCAGCACGCGCTCCTCCAGAATCCGCTGTATGGTGTCGGCGACGAAGGGCACGAGCAGCTTGAAGTTCTCGCGCGTGGAAGACAGGCCATGAGAGCGTTCGACGAGCCAGCCGCCGAGCATAGCCACTCTGGCTTCGCGTCTGTCGCAGGGCCTTCGACGTGACTGCCGAGAGCCTACGCGTGCAGATGACTCCGTCGCGTTCCAGGGCTTCGTGGAGGCCTGCGGCATGGAGGCGGACGCGCTGTGGGCCGAGATCCCGCCGGTGCTCAAGCTCTGCGTGGATCCGGCCGAGATGCGCCGGCGCCCCCTGATAGACTTGACAGGATCCACTAGCCATAGATCTAGCATATATACTGATATTTGGGATAAATAGCAAGCCTTAGAACATGAACTAGTACAAGATTTAGAGATAGAGGGAGAGTTTCGGAGATGCAAACCATCGGGCTTGGAGGAAGAGGAGGAAGCCATGCCGTCGGTGCAGTGTCTCGGTGGTAGGGTCGAACGGCGCCGTGGAGGTGCTGTCACAGAGGTGGCGGTGCAGAGGCGGCGATGAAGCCGGTGGTGAAACTTTCCGTCGCTGGCAGCGCCCCCTCTCTAGATCGGCTAGGGTTAGGAGTGTAGGGGGGTTTCTAGCGGCGCAGGTGAACCTCGTGCCTTGTGCCTCGGCCCCCACCTCCCTTTTTATGGCGCTGTGCGATGGGGGCCCACCAACCATGGAATGGTTGGGCGCCCGACGGATCAAGAGCCCAATTGGCCGTTGGGCCAAGTTGGTGGAGATCAACTTAACATTCTCTCTCTTGATCTCACCTTATGACTTAAACTTAACTTACTTTATCTTTTTCCCATTCCATCATAGATCAGTGCATAGAGCGTGCCTCATTGTCACGGTCAGTTGCCATTAGATTTAACAGCTACAAATGCACCTCTCTGTTTTTTAAACAGATTCTCAACTAGACCCTTATTGTCCAGGAATCATAGGCTTTCCCTTAAACCTATGTCGGCTAAGTGTTCTCTGAACACGCTGGGTGGTAAGACTTTTGTAAACGGATCCACGAGCATCTTTTCTGTTCTTATATGCTCAAGACTAATTATATGATCCCGGACTTTATCTTTTACAACATAATACTTTATGTCAATGTGTTTGACAGCACCACTTGACTTATTGTTGTGAGCATAACATACTGCTGGATTATTATCGCAGTATAACTTGAGTGGCTTATGTATTCGTCTACCACTTTCAACCCGGGCATGAATTTCTTCAGCCAATTCACCTACCCTGTGGCCTCATAACATGCTACAAACTTGACATATATTGTGGATGATGTAGTGACGGTTTGCTTTGAGCTTTTCCACTATATAGCTCCTCCT